CCCCACCCCGAAGGGTTTTTCTCGCAGGCTTAACATGGGGGCCGCGACCTAGAGCGCTAGCAAACTGGATGTGTCTGCATCGCCACTAGATGCGCAGCAAGTAATTGAACAGCTCGAGTTCTTCCAGGTGGGTGTGGGAGCGTGGGAGCGCCGCCGAGGGGGGCCGTTCAGGGAAGGGGGCAGGCCCTGGCCTACTTCGGGGAGCTGAGAATCCTAAGGCGCTCCGGGCACGGCACCTCGGTTCGGGTAGTGATTCATTCGCCCAGCTCAGACCAGAGAGGTGGATGCAGTCAGAAGGTGATGACACCCCCTTTCGGACATAGCCGATTTCAATCATCTCCGTGAAGGGGGTGTGCTTGATTCAGGTGCGAAAAACAACGGAGCGAGCTGCTCTGGATATTTAAAAAAAACAACAACACACACAAAAAAACCCAACTCTTACCCGCACAGAGTCCCAGAGATGTGCTGTGGGAGACGGATAGGGGAGTGTCGGGTGGGTGGGGAGACTCGGCAAGTACCTTGGTGGCCCGTTACCTGTGTGTCAGCCCAGAGGGAGATTTTGAGAGTAGGAATGATTCAGACTACAGCCCCAGCCTTCAGGGGTTTGCCAGCCGCAGGAGAGAGACATTCTCCAGTAACCGCATGATGAGAATGAGGCTGTGAAACCTCCAGGAGCAGGAAAGGCATTTTCTGGCCGCCGGAGGCTAGGAAGAGTTTTGCAATAGGTAACTTTTGAAACAGTGGTTCCCGCTCATGTTTCTGTGAAAACTGGACTCACAGAATTTCGGATTTGGGCTGTTTGTCGTTTAACTTGGTTTTTACATTGGAATTGCTTAATTGCGGGCTGTGCTTATCTGTGGGTTTCCGAGCAGGGTCGGTGGTCGCTGATGTCACAAAGTTCTAACTTTTGAATGTGCATTTAAGCAGGTATTTTCAGTGGGATTAAAATTATTTTGAAAGCTGAGCAATCAGATAAAGTACATCCTCACTCCCAACCCCGGAGCGGTGATTTTTAGTATATGTGTGGAATGGGTATTTACTTTCTGCCTTTGTTTAGGAACTGATGTGTTTCGAAATAGTTTTTTTACGTCTCAAGACTCAAGTAACTGTTTAACCTTAGAGTAGTGTCTAACTCCTTATAAGGGATTAAAAAACACGCAACAAAATTGGCGTCCTATGTTAATTTGATTTAATGCTCCTTGATGGTTTTCCATATTCATATTGATCTCACCTTAATTGTATTAATCATGTTAATTCTTCCAAGCTCAAAATGAGATATCAAGGAGAAGGTAATACGTTGACTATAATTTTCTTTCCTTTTTTTCTTTGAAAGGTGGGGGAGTGGTGCTAAGGATCAAGTACACTGTTTTAGAAAAAGAAAACAAAACCCAAACATGAGGAAGGTATGATTTCCAGCACACATTATTCTAAAACTATCAACCTGACCAAATGTCTTGCCTGAAAATATTACATTTTTAAGATCAGCATCTGTTTTTGCATCCTGCTTAATGTCCAAATGGTATGAAGAAATAATTTAGGATGTAGGTAGAATTTCCTCCTTGGTGGTGGTGTGCGGTCTGATACTTGGTCATAAACGGAGCAGAGTTCCTTGCATACTGTTTTTCATTTGAAGCAGCAGTTTCAGTAAGAAACCCTTTCACATTTTTAAGGAGTGTATTTTTCTCTAGTGTCAAGATTTTCGCTTATCATCTCAACTGTGTTTCTTCTGTTTTGCTCTAGTTCTATAGTAAAGTTTATAGTTTAGCACAAGGACATTGAATTTTAGCAAACTGAAGGTGGTTTGGAGTTTAAAACAAAGCCTGTTATAGTTGATTTCTCTGAGGAAGCTTTTATTGGTGGAAGAACTGAATCTTTGCACTTGAGTTCTGGCTAAGAAAGTTTATTTAGAGAGTTACAGAGGTAGAAGTGAGCTGTAGAAGAAATGGGCTCAGGAAATAAGTTAAAGAGGCAAAAAGCAGAGCCCTTGGAGCTTAGAAAGAGAGAGCCAAGGAAAATATGCCTGAGGGAAAGGGGTGGGGGGGAGGGGGTTATTCCCTCTCTAAAGGCTGGGATCTTAGAAGAGGTCGCAATAGAATATGCATCAGCTTTCCAGGTGTGCCCTTTCAGGTCATGGTCTTCACTGATTGGTATGTACCAGAGTAGTGGGTCGAGTCAATGCAGCTGGTCCTGACGTCAGCCATGACATCGCTTGTCAGGTTTTGCAGCTTTTCTGGGCCTGGAGCTGAAACAACTGAGGCTTAGATGTTATCCCTACGGGTTAACGCTTAAGGGAGTGGTTGTGCAAGGGCCCGCATTAGAGGCCACTCTTTGTTCCGCACCTTGTTCCTCCTTCAAGGGGGTCTACTGCATGACTGTGGACATGCCAGGGGAGGATGCAAACCTCATGACCAACGATATGAAAGGTCGGGGTCTAAACCACATGACCAGTGATGTGCTAGGGGAGGAAAGGTCACCCTGGGGGCCAGGTCATTGTTTTCTCAGTTTGCACGTAGTTAGGAACCCATGGCTTACTGCCTTGGTGCCCTTCTGTACCTGGCCCATTGTCTTTGCTCTCCTCATGTCTTTCTAACTCCCTACCACATAATTATTTCGTTTTCTGCTGTTTTCAAACTCATTAACCCTCTCTATTTGGCTGTCATTTAATCTTCATGGAAAGTGCCATAGCTTTTATTTATTTATTTTTCCCTTGAGAGAAAGATTGACTTGTTGCTCCGCTTGTTCATGTATTCATTGGTTGATTCTTGCATGTGCCCTGACTGGGGATCAAACCTGCAACCTTGGTGTATCGGGACAATGCTCTAACCAACTGAGCTACCTTGCCAGGGCAGCCTTTCTTACTCTTCATTCTAGTTTGCCTGGTTACTGTTATATTTGGTAGAGTCATTAAAAGGGATAATATCCTAATGTAGTTAATTAAAATTTGTAGTAAACTTTTTGTTAATTCCTTAAATGTTGGAAGTATCCCCCCCAGGGGTTCTAAAAGCATATTAGATTATAAACACACAATCAAAGACAGCTGAACCTTGAGGCCATTTGAAAACTGGCACTGTCAGAAAAGAAGAATGGGCTGCTGCTCTTGCAGAGAAACGGCACATTTCCTCTTGCTTTGTTGACTGAAAAGATGATTCAGAATGAGCTTATATTGTGTGAATCTGACTGAGGAACCTGAGAGAGTGCTTATAAAATTGGTAGTCTATTATTGTTGTGGAAATCAATGTCACAGCCCTGGAAACCGTCAGTCCCCCCTCTCGTGTAAATTGTTGAAGTTTGTGGATAACACTCCCCACTACTCACCTCCTTTATACTCCTACCGAGGGGAGGACATTTCTAATTCATTCTCTAGGAAGGAACACTATAGGAGGTACACTTTCAGCCTTTCTACTACCAGAGGAAAAAAAGCAAGTTTTAGGTTGGTGAGTTTTAGCAAATGAGCTAAAACATGCTTTGGATCAGTACTTTCTGGGACCTGCCAGATCTGTCTTCCCATGGCAGGGATGGTGGTCTCGTCAACTAGATGGTAAGCTGCTGTTGGTCAGCTGGGGTATCACATTATCAAGACCAACTGGCTGCAGAGCTAAAGTCATGTTCTCCAATTGGTGTTATTAGTAAACAAGCAAACATTTAAATTTCTGTTTGTCTTATTTCTTAATTAGTTCCAAATTGAGAGTGAGAAGAAGGTAGTGTTATTGGCCCTCAAAAATCTTGGTGCGATGGCTTTGTTAAAAAAAAGAAAAAAACACAAAAATTAGATTGGGTGTCAGAATGGCATGAGATCTAGGTGTCTGTGGCAGTGCAGACAGGAGGCGTTGGAATTTAATCTCTTACTAGGCCCATGTAAGTTTTTAATATGATACCTGGTTCTTAACGGATATAAGCCAGGCCAAGGTCCCAAGGCTAATCTATCCAGGAACAGTTTTGGCCTAAGGAGGTGTGTAGGAAAGGGATTATCAAAGAAAAACCATTTATTTTCAGTAGTCCTTGATGACTAGAAAATAAACTCCAACATAGCTAAATTCCTTGAGCCAGAAGTTTTGTGCCAGGCATAGGTAGTTGCCTTCTTTGAATTGAATTATATTCTTGGTTGTTTTGAGTTACATTCTTGGTCAAGGGACATATTTTTTTGCCTGGGATAACACTTTGGGGGCTGGCTTGGTCTGTGTTTTTTATTTTATGATGAATTGGCCAATAGAAGTGTTCTTCTCATTATTTTCCCTTCTGGGGAATGAAGAGGAAATTCCAACCCCTTTATAGAAACATGAGGAATGGAATGAAATTGTTAACCTCCAATATTGATGTCTACATAGAGATTCCACCTGCTTTCCTGAAAGAAATCCTTCTATTCTCTTCACCAGAACTGTGAATGTTTTCAGCCTAGAATTTTAATGATCATGGTCTGGGACCTATTCTGTTAACTCATTATAAAACGGATTTCTGAAAGAATAAAATGTGTGGCAGCTGCTTTTAAAAGGGAGAATGATTTGAGATTTTTCGCCTGCTTAGGTCAGAATCTTTCTTTACCTTTATTATTCTTTCTCATTAAGACAATTTGAACTTTTTAGGTAGGAAGAAAATTTTAAATAATGTTACATTGCCTTTCACGAGGTAATGTAAAGAAACTTTTTACACAGCTATTTACTTATCAGTCTTGATGGTAGAACTAGATGCAGTGGGAAAGGTAGTTCTGTCCACAAGGAACTTTTACTGGCATTGGGGAGACAGTATCCCCTAGGAATCAGAACATGGATAAAAGCTAACACAGCTGTTTAATTGTTTAGTAGCTGGGTCAGCAGGAAGCTGAAGCTTCTCAAAAACTTGACTTCTTTAAACTCCTGGAATGAAGAAAAGTTTATCCCAGTGGTACGTTCTACAGTTGAATTATGTATAACTCCCTCAAAATGTTATGTGCGAATTAAAAATCTCCCTCTCTCCCTTCCTCTCTGTAAAATCAAATTTAAAAAAAAGAATACTCACTTTAAATGAACTATTAGTAAGTCTGGATTTTCACCCTTTTATGTTTAAACAACCATGACTCTAGAGTCTGAGGTATATATTTAAAGGTATGAACTATTAGCTATAATTTAACATGACTTTTAAAGGCATCACTATTTCTTGAGAATTATAGGGTGTGAAGCTATATAATACTTAAGTCAGTGACCCTGATACTTAAGACTGTTTGAACCTTGTATTGTGGTTTCTTAGTGCTTTACCTTTTCCTTTCCCTATATTTAATATAACATATTACTTCTGGGTAGTAGCAAGAATAGCATGATCCTTCTGTAGCATCCCAAATAGCCTTTTAAAGTTGTTAAAAAATTTTAAAGAACTTGGACAGAGTTTAAAGAATTTGACAGAGTTAGATAATTAAACGAACTATGCCATGTCATGTGCTACCATTTTAACTCATAAGCCCTCACCTAACTGGACTTCTGTTACCTGTCACATTATCTAGAGCCTGCGTTATGCTTAAGAATTAGGACAAGGGGCAAACATGGATTCCAAACGCGATAGCTTTTCCACTTTAAGCATAGGAAAACACCTTGAGCCTTCACTGAAAAAATATATATGTGTGTATATATATATATTTCTAGCAAGCTCGGTTATCAGGTTTCTGAGTCTGCAGTAAAAAAGGAGACAGGTTGCTAGGTGGGTGTAGTGATAGCAGTGGTGGTTCACCGAAAGGGAAGAGATGAAAAAAACATGAAAGGTAATACATTAGTTTCAGACCATTTAGTGGAGTGGCAGATAGCCTCTATACTTTGGAGATCATTATGATTATTAAGTCATCAGAAATTGTGTTCAAGATTTTCCCTTTGAAAAGGTAGAATAGCTGTTTTTTTAAAAATATTTTCCTTAATGTCAAATTAACACATGATTTTTAAAGATTTTGAGAAGTAGAGAAAAAAATAAAGAAAATAAATTCTACAAGATATATTAAAACCTTAAGAGAGCTTCAGTTGGCATTTTGATGTTTTCCCAGTCATTTTTTAAAAGTAAAAAAATTATCTAATTATACCCAGCTACAAATGAGAACAAGTTTAATGAAATTAAGTAATTTGAATTTATAGTCTTTCTGCTAAATGATAGCTGGGGAAATCTGCCTCAGTGCATAGAAAAAAATGTAGTTTTGTTTAACAATATTTGAGTATCTCCAATGCCAAATATTCTTTTGCAAATACCAGAAAGTTATCTTTTTCCAAATAGCTTAAAATTTTGATTATCTCAAAGTTATTTAGGACAAACATACCTCTCCAGAATGGCATTCCCTGAGGATTTCAGAGAGCCCAGGTACCACTTAGCTTTAATCTGGTCTCTTGTGTTCCTTTTCAGGCGGGTGCCACGTCTATGTGGGCTTCGTGCTGTGGGCTGCTGAATGAAGTCATGGGAACCGGAGCTGTCAGGGGCCAGCAGGCAGGATTTGCAGGAGGCACTGGTCCGTTCAGATTTACACCAAACTCTGATTTTTCCACTACTTACCCACCAGCACCTACAGAAGGGCCTAATATAGTTTGCAAAGCCTGTGGACTTTCATTTTCAGTCTTTAGAAAGAAGGTGAGAGGAAATGTTACATATAAGACATATCAGAATTCTTATAATTTTGAATACTAATGAATCTTCATTTCTTTTTATTAAAATACCAGAAAGTTAGTCCTATTAACCATTTCTGACTTAGGAAAGTACTCAGTTGAAGGGACTGAATTACTGTTTGAGTTTTCTGACTAGACATTACTTGTCCTGTTGCTCAGGCATCCTTTCTCCTGAACTGACCTTGATTCTTCCTGATGATGCTTATGTTCTGAAGCAAGAGATTTAATGTCCACAGTTTTTTTCAGAGATTATTTACTGTAAACTCTGATCTCAAGTTTCAAAAAATGTATCTTAAGTGAAAAAATGAATGTAAGTATTACTGTTTAGAGGTTCAATATAAAACAAGGGTTCAGGTTGTTCTGAGAACCATCATATTGGTAGGCCATTGACAGTCTTTGATTAAGGCTGTGTAGGGTATAGATTATGCATTATTGGGGTCCTCTGCTTGGATTGACCTTGAGAGATCAGTTGCCTTTCTCTTTCCTTGTGTGATATATTCCCCCCCCTTCTCTTTAAATGGAGAAATTGTTCACATAGAAAAAGAGCAGGAAGAGTGTGTGGTTGTGCTTTCTGCTCTATGTGGTTCAAGTCAGCTCTGTTCTGCTAATTACATGTTTGCACCAAGGGGTGGAAAGGTTTTAATTCATTAACACAAGAGTGTATGTTTTTCTTAAAGGGCTGTATTTGAACTGTGAATCCAGACTGCTTTGGCAGTGACTGTTTTGATTTTCATGGCTTTTGGAACATAAAAATGCCTGTGAGAGTAGTCTGGTATCACAAAGGACTTTAGACTTGAATTTCAGTAGTAGGCTAAAAGTTTTAATAGTTCTTTCACAACTGCTTATATCTATCATTAAATGCTGCTTTTCTCTCTTTTCTCTTCAGCACATATGTTGTGACTGCAAGAAGGATTTTTGCTCCGTTTGTTCAGTCTTACAAGAGAATCTTCGTAGATGTTCCACCTGTCACTTACTACAAGAGACAGCCTTCCAGCGCCCTCAGTTAATGCGACTGAAAGTGAAGGATCTGCGGCAGTATCTCATTCTTAGAAACATACCAATTGATACCTGTCGAGAGAAAGAAGACTTGGTAGATCTAGTACTATGCCACCATGGGCTGGGCTCTGAGGACGACCTGGACACCAGCAGTCTGAATTCCTTAAGGTCCCAGAATTCTGGCTTTTTTACACATTCATTTTTTTCAAGCTACACGGCCCCCTCTGCTACCGTGTCTTCATTTCAGGGAGAGCTAATGGGTAGAGACGGGACCTTAGGATCTGGAACACTGGCACAGGTACGCAGGGTAACTACCCTGAGGGCCTAGCATGTGTACTCTCGGCCGTATGTGGTGGGGATCTTTAGGGGTTGACGTCTCCCTGTGGGAGCAGAGGTTCCACAAGCTCCTGAACTTTGCGCTTACAAGCCTCCTGATGTGAGTTTCCAAGCTTAGGTGTTAGGTGGCGCCGAAGTCAGCTATCTGAAGGGCCCTAAGTAGCTCATCGGGTTCTTGACCTTAGTTACCTCAGTTTCCCTATCTTACAATACTAGTGAAATGACTGTAAAAAGTAGTATATAAACATTTGTAGGACTATTTGTGTGTCAGTGACCATGGAAACAGTAGTGTAAGGTAGCCTAATGCCCAGTTACCTTATTACAGTGAAATTGTTCTAATTTAGGTAATGGGAAAGAACCATGTGAATTAGTGAAAGAATGTGGTTATCTGTCAATTTCAAAGAAGTACTGGTTCAGAGCACTCTCCCAGTGAGGTCCTTGGGCATCCTGATTGAGTAGCATCCAGTTCAGAACACTCTCCCAGTGAGGTCCTTGGGCATCCTGATTGAGTAGCATGCAGAGGCTTGTAATTAATATCAATTTGTATGTGTGAATGATTCCAAAATGCTGAATGAATTATTTTTAACAGCTCTCTCCACATTTAATTTTCTTTCCTGAATAAAGGAGTTAGAAGTAGAGGGAAATTTGGTATAGTTGTCTTCTAAATAGTCATAAATCAAATTAGACAAGTTCAAGCTAGGAGTTTTATCATTTCCCAAATGAGAGCTGGCATAACTATTAGGCAAACATAAGACACATCTGACTTTTGTGACACTTTTGGGTTTACACCACCACTTGGGAGGTATGGGTCTGTGGACACTACCATGTGGCGCTTGTGAACGTAGAAGTCTAGGAACCATTCTTTGTAGTATTGAGGTCTTTCAAATCAAGTACTCCTGACACTTGTGCTGATCTTAGCGCTTCAGTTTCTATCTGTGTCAGAGGCTCCAGTTAAACCAGCCACATGCAGGTCCTTTCCATACACTTGCAGCTTTGGCATCCCATGATGGGGCCTTCCTCAGGGCTTCTGGTTAGGTTTTTATAAATTCACATTCACCTGGGAATTTGGCTTTTGAGGTAACCTTTAGGAAAATGTGATTTGACTCCTGACATGACCAGACCCATTATGTGTACAGGAACAGAGTGAAATAGCTTCAGCAAACACAGAAGATGATGATGACGGTGACGATGATGACGATGACGACGACGATGATGATGAAGAAAACGTGGAGGAACGGGTGAGATCTGTAAAATTTGGTGTTCAGACATTTCAACCTGGCAGGCAGGAAAATGTACACTTTTGCTAGAGCAGCACGGGCTACTTCTTCTGGTTTGAAGGTAGCACAATATATAAAACTCTTTAAGTACTGACAGGAAATCTGGGACGACCGTCAGGGCCAGTGATGACTGGTGGGTGAGGGGAGCATGGTGCTTTCTTTGCTGGGCGCGGTCGGGATTCACCGGAACATAGATAATGGAGGCACTCTGATTGCAGGCGCCTGGCCTCTCTAAGAAGAGACTGAGAGCATCGCTGTCTGACCTGTCAAGCCTTGAAGAGGTGGAAGCGATGAGTGTGCGCCAGCTGAAGGAAATCCTGGCTCGGAATTTTGTCAGCTACTCTGGCTGCTGTGAAAAGTGGGAACTGGTGGAGAGAGTGAGCCGGCTCTACAAGGAGAGTGCAGAGAGCCAGAAGCCACGTAGGGTTATTTTTTCTTTTTCCCCTTTGGTGCCCTTCCTTGGGCTTCAGAAACTGCACTGTTCCTGTTACAAGTCACATTTATTTCTGAGAAAATTATGTGTCCGTTTACTGAGTGTGAATTAGTTACATGAGCCTGTTAAGAAGTTGTTCATTATGCAGTGTTGGTTCTGAGACCACCAGTGCCAAGTGAGTTAGGCGATCATTTGCTCAGTCTGGTTCTTCATGCCATAATTTGTTAGAACTCGAATGAAATTCCTTATATTTATAAAACGTTGTTTTCTTACTAACCCCATGGGTGGGCCAGTACTTTGGTTATCTCAAGTTCTTGTTCTGCGGCCTGCCTTTTGGTATACGGGATGATGCTCCAGCCAGTGGAGCCACACCGGCCAGGGCAGGCTATGAACTTTTCAAATTCATTTGGCACCTTTTTTATTCAGAGTCTGGATTTTCTTAAAACCTAATCTGGTCCATAGAGCCAGGATCACCCACCTCTTCTGAGTTAAAGTTCAGCAATACCAGGGTGGCCAGAAACACGGGTAGCTCTTGAGAGGCTCCCAAGGCTGGAGTGGGGGGCTTCCTCCAACTACAAGCTACTTGATGTACAACTTTTTCCTCACAAAAACCTTGAATTACATAGATTAAAGTAGAATTAAATAGCTCACATTTGTTGGGTACTTCATACCTGGCTCTAAGCTAAGCATTTTTCATTCATTCTTCACAAAAGTACCAGGTGTAGGCATTGGTATTGCCATTTCTAGTGGAGGGAATTCCATGCAGAGTTGGGATTATTTCTCTTACAGCAGGGTCATGCTGCACCTGTCGTCACTCAGCAGGTGGCTGCTCAGCCTATCAGGTGGCCTTGTTGGCAGCTCCAGCTCTCTGTTGCCTTTCAGATGGCGAACGGCTGCAGCTGCAGGACGAGGAAGATGACAGCCTGTGCCGTATCTGCATGGATGCCGTCATCGACTGCGTCCTGCTCGAGTGTGGGCACATGGTCACCTGCACCAAGTGCGGCAAGCGCATGAGCGAGTGTCCCATCTGCCGGCAGTATGTGGTGCGCGCTGTGCACGTGTTCAAGTCCTGAAGCAGACGCTCTCCCCAGCGGGACACACTCGCCCCCAAGCTTGATCCCAGACATTTCAGTGCACAGAAGGGACTGGAAACTTACTGTTCAAAAGTTGAAGTTATTTTTAAAAATTATTTTCACTACTAACTGGGAACAGAGTGTCACCCTAAGTTATGGCCTGCCAGCCTGTGGACAGTTTCCCAGGTTCAGCCGGCATCACACATCTGTGATCGTTAACTGCTGAAGTCAGACTGCTTATGGCGTCAGCTCCTCCTCTGGGAGGACATTACCCTGTTCTCTTCTTTCTCCTTACTCCCGTTTGTACCTTAAACTACTCAGATGTTTGCAGCTTCTGTTCTGTTTGGATGAGATCACTGTCCACAACTGACCGACATGGTACTTGCTCAGAGTGAACATTCAGAGGTGCCACTGCTATTAGTCATGTATATTTTAAATGCTACTATTTGATGAATGTAAGTTTCCACATCGTTGCTCTTTCTGCATTTAAACTTAATTGGAAACAACTGACATTCTATATAGTCAACTGCCAGGGCCTTAGACTAAACATGACCATTTATGTTCAGGTACAGCTTTTTATAGCAAGGGCCGCATCCAGCTGCTTCACTAGAGAAATGTGTGTTAAATTCTTTATTAATGTGTAATTGGTTTACACTGTTTTGTATAGTGAAAGTGTATTTTCAGTGCTATCGCTAGCTAATTTGAACTTTAGGAATAAAATTAGATTTTCAAAAATGCTTTTATTTACATTGCCCTACCCAGTTCCTCATTCACTTGGGTACAGCATGAATGGGTGTCTGCGCCTGGTCCAGCTTCCTTCTTCACGAGATCCCAGGATGGGTGTCAGCCATGGTTCCCACTAACCAGCCTGAGCAGATTGTTACCTCCCCACAGAGGCAGTAAACTCAGCCCATGGGGAAGCTGTGGGAGCCCTTACCTTGTCTGTGCTGCTTGTGAGACAGTGAACTCCAGAAATCCAGCCTTCCCCACAAACTGGGAAGTCTTCAAATCCAGGACAGTGAGCACATTTAGGAGCTGAGCAGTAGGTGCTGGTTTGTCTAAAGTTAAATTAGAAAATTGAGGTTTATTTGTACATAGTCTTATCTTAAAATGGCTTACTGCTTAACACTTGGAATAACTGGATTACAAGGTACTAACTTGCTTGGCAGAGGGCAAACATTTCTGCCTGGAATCTGCATTTTGTAGCTAGCATGCCATGCCTCTTTTAAGTTAATTTTCTGAATACATAATATCATGGATAAAATCCTGCAAGTCCAAAATGGAATACAATGACATCTCCTCTTCCCTGTCCTCGCAATATAGAAGTCATTTGATGCTGTGGAAGTGTCTTGGTGTCGTCCTCTGTAAACACCAGGTTCCCTGGAGGAAGGAGGGATGGAGCTTCTCCTCTTTCCTGGGTTAAGAAGCTGCGATCCAACACAGGAAGCATCACCCCTGGTTTATGGTACTTTCATTACATCATCAGGTGTTTTCTGGGCTCAGAGCAGCTATTTGCAAGCATCTAGCTTAACCTGGCCTTATCTAAAGCTCACTTCTAAATAACAGGTTTATGCAGAGACTGTGCTGGATTTCTCAGTATACTTAGGGAGAACTCACCTGTTACCTGCCTCAATCCTGGCAAGACGCTGGGTCTTGGCTCTGGTGTGTCCCTATGGTAGTGATGGCTTCCCAGCTCTGTCAGCTCCTCCTTCACCTCCTCTTGGCAAACCTACATGCTCTCAGAAATGTTACAGGACAATCGGGGGCTTCTAAGACCAAGGACTGTTCACCTGGAAACCAGTATGACCCTTAAAACAATTCCCAAGGAAGAGGGTGCTGCTACTGGACATCAGGGTAACTCTTACTTGGAAGTCAAAGAACTCAGGCTGTCGAGAAAACCAAAACTTGGCCTCTTATGGGGTGGAGTGCTCCATGATGAATGATCAGGCCCGGAAAGGTAAGCCACGTTTTATAAATAAGCCATCGGGCGCTAAACTAGTCTTGCCTCTGTTAAGTGCATCTCCTGAGCTAAACGGGTGCAACAGCTTCAGATGTCTCCAGTTTGAGTCAGAAAGGATCTTTGGATTTAGATTAACAGGAAGCGTGAACCTAGATGGGATCTAAAACCATTTTGCCGTGACACATAAAAAGAGGAGGGACAGGCAATATGAAAACTACCATTAGCAGAAAAGGCTTGTCCCAGGGGACCCAAGTCTTATGTTGCTACTGATCACGGAAGCAGGAAGTTGGGTTCTCCATTTTCAGATTCACTAGAGCAGTTTTGCATTTGCGTACAAGGTTGCAGGGCCCTGTCGGCAAAAACAATTCTGCGATGTAAAATTACTTCCCACTAGTTTCTGCCAGCCACCTGGGTAAGCTACCTCATAACCAGACATCTCCAGCCACCCTGGCCCAAGGCTACTAAGCACAGGATGTGGGCCGAGTTGTCTCCGATGGGAGGTTGAGGAAATGGACTCCACAGCCCCCCACCTTTGGCAGTGGAAACACCAAGTGGCCACTGGTGTAGCAGTTCTTGCTCACCATCATTTATTAACAATAAACTGTAAGGTCTCTTTCCAAAGATGCGGAGGGAAATCACGTACTAAGGGGTCACTGCAATTTCTCAGACGAGTAAGAAATTATAGCTTGTTTGGCTTCAAAATAATGTATATAGTGTTGAGATCAGTGCCCTTGGGCTTTCCAATCAAATGTCTAGCCCACTCCTAGAACAGAAACCCTCAAAGTCCAAGAGCCAGGGTTTTTTGTACAATTGTTTATACAAATTCAACAAAGGTAAAACCGCGTCAGGGAAGGTCTAGGAAAACAACACCTTACAACAATGGCACTTATGAATGCATAACTTTACAACTGGGAAACAGCCGTGTTATAAATCTGAAACGGGAACTCAATGCACACTTCAGAGGAGAGAGAAAAGGTAAAAAGAAAGGCTATGTTGGGTCATTTATTCTACTTCTTGACTCACTGTATAAATTAGATCTATGTAGAGTACAAGAGCTCATGCTGGGAACAAAACCCTCCTGAGTGCAAAGGCTGAAGTCTGAACTTTAAAATTTTTTTGAGAAAAAGGTGAATTCTATACAGAGGAAACTTGGCAAAGTGTCTTACTTTGACTAATTTACATATATGCACAACATGCTTATGTAACTTCTTAACGTACAAAGCAGGCTCTCAGCTTCCAGGTAAACATGCTCTTAACTGGGAGGTCTCAGCCCGCTTTGCCAGATCTTGGGCATATGTGTAAATGGATTGTTTGTGTAGATGAAGTACAGGTTAACTTCTACCTTAAGGAAACCAGGAAAGTTGGCAATCATAAAACAATAAAAACACTGGTATGCATTCAAACCTCGCATAAATAACTTTTAAACAATTTGTACAAAAATAATTCTGCATAATGTAAGATGTAACAAAACCAAACAAAATACATCAAGACGGCGGCTGTGATGTGTGGTCCACTTCATGTTGACACCAAAAACCCTGGAGTTGCAAGGAACGAGGTGTCCCAAACAAAACACCACCACCAAAAAAAAAAAAACACAAGAAAAACTCCTAAGCTCATGCTTCAGTGAGAGAATTTTCTCCAAAGTTCATCCCCCTCTCCAACAGGAATGTCTTCTAAGGCCGCCTTAGACATGGTCCAGAAAGCAGTGCAGCTACAATTCAGAAAGACCAAAGGAACGTGTCCGGCTCGCTCATGCCCACAACGGGCGGTGGAACGGCTTTGCCCTTGGCAAGACTTGCAAAATGTTCTGTGGTCTGTGTTCCAAAGTTCCGAGTTGAAAATAAAAGCCCTAGTTTCTGTAAAGTCTTTTACCCTCCCCTGGC